GGTGGGGTGGGCAGGTGGAGTGGGTGGGCAGGTGAGGCAGGCAGGCAGTTGGGGTGGGCCTGCAGTGGGGTGGGCAGGTGGGGTGGGCGGGCAGGTGAGGCAGGAGGGTAGGTGGGGTGGGCAGGCGGGGTGCCAGCCCCGACCGAGAGGGTGTGCGGCAGAGCCCAGGCCCAGGCTTTGGCTCTGGCTCCCTCACATTAGGCTGTGAGATTTTAACTTTCAGCATCAATTCTTTGATTTAAAATGTGGTGGGACGGATCTGGGCCCGGTCCGTGCGCCCCTGCCTTTAAATGCACACTTCAGAATCCCTGAGGCGCTCTACTCTGGATCTCAAACCCCGCCAGCTCTGGACTCACAGAGGCGGGAGGCTCTGAGGAGCAGAACGGCGTCTCACCTCTTCCCCCAGGGCACTGGGCCCAAGGTCGAAGTGACCTCACAGATATGAGGCTAACACGGTCTAGACTAGAACAAACGCCCTATGTTTTCCTAAGTTCCTAAGTGTGAACGCATCTGATCCCGTACCCGACGGCCCTGGAGCGCCCACTCTGCTCTCACGCTCGTCTGTCCACAAACTGCTCCACCCAGAGCAAGGCCCGGTTTGCTGCTGAGGTCTGGCCCCGTCTGCAGGGAAGATGACTCAGTCAGCAACGGAACCGTCTGGGTCTGAGCACCACTGGGCTGTGACCTCCGGAGCAGCTCCCTCCTCCCTCAGGGCCAAACGCAGCCAGAGCGCACGCAGAGACGCCGGGCCTGATCCACGGTGGACATCTGCATCCGCGTGCGCACGGGAGGAGCCGCTGTGCCACGCTTAAACTCAACGCTTCCCTTCGAGGGTCCGTTTCAAAGGGTGAGCTCGGAAGTGCTGCACTTCAACACGGATGACCCTCGGAGACCCGACCCCGGAGCCCTCCAGCCACCTGCCCCTAAGGTCCCCCTGAGGACACACCCCAGCAGAGGTCAGGGCCCCTCCGCACCTAGTCAGGCCTGGTCACCGCGCCCCAGGGCCGCAGCCAGCTGGCGCCAATGGCCAGAAGCCAGAATCCTCCAGCCAGAGCAAGTCGTCTGAGGTCACAGGGACGTGGGCGGGTGGGAAAGGACCAGCAGAATCGGTGGGGAGGGGAGTGACCAGCTGCCGGGCAGACACGCTACAGCACTGCAGACCTGAGGATGCCCAGCCGCCAAGGAAGACGTCGTAAGCCCGGGAGCCCCCCCTGGGGCTCTGCCCGCGAGACCTGTCCGTCTGCCACGTAGGACCAGAAAAGGCCTGTTTCGTGTCTCCCGCCGTCCCTGGTGCAGGAGGAGCAGCGCGGCCGGGTGTCCGGCTGGTGGTGAGAGGCAGCCCAGCGGGCCGGCGCCCAGCGCGACTCCAAGCGACGTTTCCACTCAGTCCCAACTTACTTGTTTCGCAGCCAGATGATCTCGGGCTTGGGGTTGCCTTCGGCTCTGCAGGTGAAGTAGACCGTGTTCCCCGAGGTGACGTCTGCGTCCTGGGGCTCGGACGTGATCCGGGGCCTTTCTGTGCCCAACAGGGAAACAGAACCTGTCTCAGTCTAGAACTAGGAGTGAAATTAAACGAAGAGCCGAGCAAGTCTGCGTGTTCGAGAGCAAACCGCGCAGTCCAAACACACTCTCCGCCACGGACGTTCCCCGCGGAAGTGACAGGCTGGCTTCTCCGCAGAGACCCACCGCAGCGCGGACCTCTCGCTGTTCATGCGTGAACAGCTCAGAGACACGGCGCGGAGAGGGCTCCAGACGGCAGCCAGCGAGTGGCCGCTCTGGGCGCTTCAAGAAATGGAAAGAACTGAGCGGACAGACACTCCACAAACGACCATTTTTGGTGAATAAAAGAACAAGATAGTACTTCTTAGCTAAAGAGATGCGGGAAGAATAAATCTCCCACAGCACAGGCAGGTGTCGGGCACCAAAGCTGGCGCAGTGGCTCCCCCTTGCCCCACAGGTGCCCCCACTGCCCTGGGGATGGGGGAGGGGCTGCCCTCCCCCCCCCCCCGCCCCCCACCAGCGCCTCTGCCTCTGCCAGGAGCCCCTGAGGGCTGCGGCTCCCGCTGGCCCCGAGCGCCAGGCCTGAGTGGGAGCCGCCCTCGCTGTGCCCACGAGCAGGGGCCGCCTGCACCCCTCTCTGCCAGTCCCTGGACGTGCTCATCCGTGTCCCTCCCGTGTGCATGCGTGAGCACCGCCCGACCTCTCACTGCGCCGGCACCGCGGGTCCCACCCAGCGGCCACGGGACAGACCCTCAAGTCAACGAGGGCACGGCCGACGCAGCGGCTCCGGGATCGAGTCCTCCCGTCCCTGCAGTCTGCGAGCCCTCTCCGTGCCCCCCGCAGCTCGGGCCCTCCTGTCGCCGTGGGGCTCTCACTGTCCCCCACCCCGGGACTGCCAGAAAGAACTTTCCGGAGCACAGGCTCATCGTGGCATTTCCCAAGTCCCTGGATCCCCACAATGTCAGAAAAACACAACGGGGACCACCTCGTCATTACCGAGGCCGCGCAACTCTGAGTCTCTCAAACCACCACGTGTCCCCCCGCGCGGTGGACTACACGGCATGGGGAAGACATGTCGATGAAGCCGCGCCAACCTCAGGAAGGAGCGACAGTACGATGGGGCCGCAGAGCCCGACCTCGGCCACTCAGCTGCGAGGCCGTGAGCCGCGTTCTTAGGGAACCGCCAGGACACGCGAGCTCACAGGAACCTTCGCGGCCACCACGGAGGCCTCGCGGGGCCTCGGGGGCTCTGGACGGAGCCCCCAGAGCAGGGACACAAGGCCCCTGAGCCCCCCGACCACGGTGCGGCCACCGACCCTGCAGGGGCCAACCCCCGGGGGGACCCCCGGCCCCGTGGGGGCCAAGCCCACTCACCACAGTCCAGCTCTTCTGGGGTGACCGTCGCCACGGACCGACCCTGGACGCGCCTGGGGTACTCGCAGGTGGCAGCCGCCTGCGCGTTCCCGGACTGCGCGTAGGCCTTCAGCAAGTCCGCCAGCCACAGGATCTCGCAGTCACAGCGCAGCGCGTTGGAGTCCAGCCGCCTGCGGGGGGCAGAGGCAGCCGTGAGACCCGGGAGGGGGGACGAGGGTCGTCACCTGTCCGTGCAGCCAGACACCCGGTGGGGGCCGTGAATGGAAACGAGCTGCTCAATAATAATCACAGCGGCGACCTGCCGCGGTTATTCGTTCTCGCAGAACCCTGGGCACTTTAGCACCGCATGCTGCCTCCCTCCGTCCTGGAACTTCCCCGGCGTGACCGGGAGCGGCAGCTCCGGCTGGGGCTGATGCCTGAGCCCTGCGGGGTCCTAGCCATCCTGGGAAGCTGCTGGCAAGAGCGTCCTGGGCGCCTGACATGCCTGGTCCCAATGAGGGGACACAGCTGGACTCCGCGCACCCTGGGTTAGATCGCCGCTTCTGCACGAGGGGGGAGGTCTCCCGGCAGGGGCACTGGCTGGGCAGCCTGTTCCCTGCAGGGCTCACGGCCTCACCCAGGGAGGCCACACCGTGTCTGCTCCCTGCGGGGGCCTGAGGCCGGGCCCCACCCGGATCACAGAGCTTGGGGCAGCTGGTGAGACCCTCGCTCAGTTCGCACTGGCCCAGTTCACACTGGGCAAGTTCACACTCACAAAGGCCAGTGACGGCCCCGGGAGCAGGAGCCACATGCCTCCTATCTGTGTTCCCGCAGGACGTCAGCCTGGAGGAGACAAGGGCACGGAACCGGCCCCGTGACCAGGTTGCCCTCTCCCTGGCGGGCACGGGCGCGTCGCTACAGACAGGACCACTTGGCTGCACCTGGTTCTCAGGTGAGGCAGCTGCGAGGTGGGCAGGGTCTGTGACCTGCGCCGGGCACCCTGCACCTGCCGGGCGCCAGACCCCGCAGTCCCCTGCAGAAGGCCACGGAGGACTGTGGGGCAACACGTGTGAACTGGGACGGGCATGGCGAGGCGTGTGACACCTGGCCACTCTGTCCAGGCAGGGCAGGAAACCCAGGGACCTGCAGGAGCCCCCGCCCTGCCTGCTCAGAGGAGGGCGGCCGGGGAGGCCTGTGGGGGTGGGGTGGGCAGCGGGCGCCGGGGCCGGGGTGCTGGGGGACGCGGGTTCGACAGGGCGGGTGTGGTGCCGGTAAACCCAGCACAGAGTCTAAACTCGGCGTCCTGCTGTGGGAGCAGCTGCCGTGAGCGCGGGGTGGGGGGAGGGGAGTTCCCAGACACTCAGTGGAGGCGGGAACGGAGGGGCCGGGGTCTGCCCTCTGCCCGGCTCCCTGTTACTTTCCAGGGCGCTGGTCTGGCAACTTCTCTCGACTTCACGTGTGCAGCATGGTGGGTTTACCCTGTCCCCACTCAGGACGCAGGCTCTGCTAGGCCAATGACACGTGTGTCCTGAAGGAAGGAACCCTACGGCGCTACGGAGGCCCAGGGCTCACCCCACGGGACGGGGACAGCAAGGCACCGCGGACGCGTTTCTGAGAGTTTCCTGTTCCTCCCCAGGGTCCAGTCCGGCCGACTGAGCAGCATCAGACTGAAAATAACGGCCTTGGAGGCCACGAAGGACGCCCCCCATCAGCAAAGAACCCGCGACTTCTCCAGCAGCACTGAGACGCCCAGCGCTGACACGAGACGTCACTCAGTGTAAAGAGAAGCCACCGTTGGGTCCCGGAGAACACGGTGGGCTCCGTCTGCGCGGCCTGCTCCCGCTCTCGCTACGCCCAGGGAAAGGGACGGGCACGGTACGGAGACTCCCTGCAGACTGGTTTTGTTTTCAGCAGGGACGTATGCGTGGGATTGAAACTCCACGTGAAGAATTCAAAGACGCTTTCTACGGACGTCTCACTGGCCCATCACGGGACCAACCTCCTGCCACTTCCCTGAGCCACCGGCCTTGTCCCGCACACGTCTGCACACCCACACGCGTGCACGTGCGGGATGCACATTCCCAGTGTTAAACCTTCACGGTGCCCAGTACACGGGGCCAGGGGAACGGAAGACACAGAAACGAACACGGCTTTGTACGAAGGCAACACGGAAAGCCGTGTACTCACAGTCTCTTCATAGATTCCAAGTGGTTGAAGGTCCCTGGAACCAAGTGTGTGATCCGGTTGTTGTGTAAGAATCTGTGAAAGAGATGTTATGACAATAGAATGTTGTCTTATTAGAAGTCTTTCAAATACTTCTTCACTGTGCAGACAGGAATATAACTAGTCAAATACATCACCTTCCAAAAAATCTCAGTGACTGCATTTATTTAACACAAATGAATTTGAGAATAGTGTTTAGTCCAGAAAAAAACTGGATTTTCCCCCTAGTTTATCACCATCCCCAAATAACAAGAAAACTATAAATCCCGCTTCTGAACTGGCAGACGAGGCATGCAGAGTTTGCACCCGTTTACAGGCATTTAATAGACATTGACCTTAATTCTGCCAAAGCCAGTGACGAGACTGGGGCTGAGGGTCCCAAAATGGAAAATCAGGGGACAAAACGCAACTTACAGCCTTTCGAGCTTTGGCAAACGCTGAAATGACTCTGGGTCCAAGGTCTCTATCTGATTAAAGTGCAGGTATCTGCAGAGTTTAGAAAAAGAAGAACACAATTTAAACAAATTTCGTTTCTCCTACAGATCCAGCTTGCTCAGAAACTTGTTCGAGTCATTCAGATCTCATACGTCGACAGGCAACTCCCCAGATTTCCCACCGTGGAGACAAACACACACTCAAGATCGAACACAGCGGAAAACTGGCGCAGACGCTCGCGCGACTGACGGACCAGGTGAGGCTGGGTCTGGCCCCGGACGGGTTTGCTTTGCGCCCACGGGGCACGGTGGCCACGCCCGGCCCTGCTGTCTCTGCTCTCGAAATATCGATACGTGGCTCTCACTGACAGCACACAGGCAGGTGTGCCCGTACCTGCCTCAGACCTGTTAACCTGCAGGTACACCATGGCCGGGATAACGTGCGTTTCATCCTGACACTGGGCGCACTGCCAGACACAGACAGCTGCAGAAACGATCTCAGAGAGCAGTGGGTTAGTAAGGAAGACGACCGGTCTGGTCGAGGGCCCCTGGGGTTTATACTTCCTCCCACGTAAGTGTCCCCTACGTCCACTTTTGCACGGTCCTAGCGGGACTCGTTTTTCTGATTTTCCCGACTGATGTTCTCACTCTGTGAAGTGGGGGGTCTTTTCCTCTCAAGTCAACAGAGATCACCCTTCTAAGTGGGCGTCTGCAGGGGCCCTGCCACAGCGAGAGGAGGGTCTCCAGGAAGGACCCTGCCAAGGCCAGCGCACGTTGCCAACGACCATGTCTACAGCACCAGGGACAGAACCAACACCGCAGTTACCGGACTTTACCGTGAATCCAAACGAACGCAAGTCTTTCCAAGCCTCCTGCCCAGGGATCACTTTTACTCGCTTTTCCAGATCACTGTCTCCGCGAGGGCACCGAGGTTCCACTGCTAGGGGCCCACCCTGCCCTGGCCAGCTCCCGGGGCAACACCCCGCCGCGTCCCTGAGTCTCTGGGCGCCCACAGCCGCTCCTGAGACGCCAGCTCCGCCGCCCGCCCGCCCTGCCAGGTCAGGGACAGGCCTGTGCCCAGCAGCCCTGCGCGAGAAGGGGGCAGGAGAGGAGGGAGAGTCGCTCCCAGTGACTCTCGGGCGGGCGTCTGACTCACAGGTCCCGATGAGACGGGATCAGACAGATCTTCAGGAGCCGCACGGAGCCTCCCCAGGGTCCAGCCCGTCGGGGCAGACAGGAAGCGAGTCCAGAGCAGAGCGGGAGGGAGCACCAAAGCCAACCGGGTTAGGAAAGGTGGGTGCACAAGCCCCAGCGCAGAGCAGTTCCGCTACAAGCCTCCACCTAGACGCATGGCACAGCTGGCCAGCAAGGGGCCGGGCTCAGAATCAGGCATCTGCCTCGAAAGGCGCCAGGACAGCCACTGTCGGGGCGTTGCAGGGTCCTAGGGAGGCTGGGGCTCCCGGCAGCCTGGGCGTCACCCGCCCCTCCCTGAACAGCTGAGGAGACCGAGGACCTGAGACAGGAAGTGACTCCCCACGTACACTGAGGCCATCGATGAATTCAAATCCACATTCCCTCACTCTGGCCGGGAGTGTTTTCCGGCGGGAGCCTTTCTGGACCGGAGGTGCTTGGCAGGCCCTGGGCTGCCCAGAAGGCACGACTCCGGGTGCCCTGGGAGGGGGTGGAGTTGGCAGGGATCCGGCAAGAGCCGCCCCTCCCCAGACACACTGAACTCTGCAGACACCGGTGGGCGTGTGTGACCCGCAGTCATGGTGGACACGGGCCTCTCCTTCCTAGACAGCGCCCTCCCCAGAGCGGGGCCCGGGCCTCCCTCGGTGTACCAGACGTTCACGGAACGAAACCAAAACCTCTGCAGCTGAGACGCTGACTCTCCTAACCCCAGTTTAAGTGAGAGCAGCCGACAGACCCAGACGCTCTCCAACCACCGGAACCGCCGGGCAGAACCTCCCCTCGCTCATGCACAGACGCCAGTCCTCCTTCCTCCCGGTTCCTACTCGGACCCGGGCCCTTTCTTCCTCCAAGACAACACTCAGCTCACCTCCTCGGGAAGGCAGGTGGCACCCCCGGCCTCAGGGAGGACCCGGGTTGTCTGCGGTGACGACGGCATTTCCCCCACTGTGTAACACACAGCGTGTGCAAGCACTCGCTCCTCTGAACGCTCCTGCGCTGGTGTCTGTGCGAGGACAGACTGCTTTTGTTCAGTCCTCTGCGAAGCGGAGGTCACACAGCCCTGACGGACAACGTCCTCCCAAACATCCGTGCCCCGCACAGCGAGCACGGAAAGCCACGCTTGCTCGAGCAAATGCACACGGGCGCAGAACAGGAGCACCTGGGGCCCAGCACACGGCTCCGGGGTGCGTCCGCTCCCGGCTCTGCCGCACACCCTCGGCAAACAGCTCTGCGCCCGGTCAACCGAGGAAACAGGAAAACACACAGCTGCGGCAAAAGAATGCCACGCCGCATCACAGCAAACAGTGCTTCCATCCGTGCCCCCAAACGCTATGACAACCCGAAACTCCCTCCTCGGGAACTGGACCGTCCTACAGAGGGAAACGTGACCGGCTGAGCAAACAGACCGGGAAAAGCCTTTTCCAGGATTCCCTACTGGAAAGCCAACACCCGACTTCACGGCAAAGGACCACTTCACGTGTGGACAAAGAACAAGGCACGTTCAGTTACAGACGACATACACCCACTGGAGCTACATGGGATAAAAAGCAGTTGTGTTCTCCAGAATAATGGCGTCGCGATCGAGGAAATTAAACTGCGCGTGTTCGGTCGCAGACAGAAATAGCGCACGATGCAAGCAGCCTCCTCGACCCGGGGTGCCCTGGGCTCCTCTGCCAGGAAGGCTGACTTGTTCGCACGTCTGCCCCCCTCAAATCGTGACACGGGAGTCGCTGGATCGATCTTACTGTTCTCAGTCCCATGACTCAGGGCACAGACCCAGGCGCTGCCCGCAGGAAACCCAGCAGGTGTCCGCGGCCGGTGCATGGAGGGCAGGGAGACGGGGAGCCCCAACCCACGGCTGCTGTCCTCTGTCATGCACCTGCTCCCTGCACCCACCAGCACAGACATGCATCATGCAAACAGCAAACTCGGTCCACCGTTCCCTGCGAGAGCGGAGAGGCGGCGCGGCGGGAACCGGAGCGCGAGGAGGGGGCACTTACAGTTGCTCTAAGGAGGCAAGTCCCTGAAACGCTTGCCTGTCAATTGCCTGGATCTCATTCTTGTACAAATAGCTGAAACAAGAAACAGGGAGTGTTAGCGCACAAACGTGAGGTCACGCTTCAGACGGAGAAGCCGCACTGACCCGACACGTGGAGACGGTTCCTAACCGCGGCTGCACCGGAATGCAAACAGACATTCCGCAGCGGGGCAGCTTCCCCCGCGAGGGCCGCCCGTCCCGTAAGTCTCAAGTGGCTCAAAGCGACGGGCCCAGCAGGAGGTGGTCGCACCGTCGCTGCGTGTTGTCAGGTGATTCAGACGTGGGCACTGGGCCAATGATTGCTGACAACACGCTTGCTTCAGAGCCTGAGAAAATAAAACCACGTCCCCACAAACACGGACATGCCTTGGTTCTGCGAGTCCGCGACTGACGCTGACACAGTTCTGCGATACCCGGAAGGGCTTCGGGGGTAGACGACATGAGACTGAGCATGTCCTGATACTCGCCACCCAGGGTCCCCTCCCCGAGAACAGCGGGCACAAAGGCGTGCCAGACGAGTCACGTAACTGTCCACCACCTGCTTCTGCGCGGTGTGCAAGCTCAGGAAGGTTTTTACATTTTTAATGGTTGAAAATTCCAAAAGAGGAATCCTATTTTGGGACACATGAAAAGTTTATGAAATTCAGATTTCAGCGTCCACAAATGAAGTTCTGTTGGACCACGACCACACCTGCTCTTTCAGGTGTCGTCCGCGCCGCGTCTGCGTGGTGGCAGAGCTGAGCGGTCGCGGCAGAGACAGCACGCGACCTGCAGAACCGCAGATGTGCCCTGCCTGGTCCTTTACAGAAAAAGCCTGAAATAATCAATCGAGGATAAAGACTTCCGCACAAAAATATCGCTCTTCCAAAACAGCCATGGATTTGTGCACGGTGGGTCCACGTATCTCGGAGACGACTTGTGTCAGCCAGCTCTCTGGGAAACACGGCTCTATGCAGCGGATCTTTGGGGCCCCCGTAGCGCTGTGGACCACAGGTGGCGTCTGACTCATGCAGAGACGCCAACCACACCCTTCTAAGGGTCCACCTGCCTTCGTCTCCGATGCAGGTGGGCAGGTAAGTCAAAGTCCACACTTTCCTACACTCGCTTTAGGCAGAAACTTCTCTTCCAACTGATCACTCAATGGCCTAGTCCACTAAACAAACAGTATGTTTTGTCTTAATGCCTGTAATATTGCCTATGTCACTTGACAGAAGGGCAAAGTGTTTTACTGCATGTTAATTACTAATGTTTGGCGCAGGATCCAGTTTAATAGGACCTGCTCTGCTACCTTTAGTTATTACAATTCATCCAACCGGATCTCACTTCTTCCCTCCGCGCAGATTTGTGAGGTGGCCTCGTGAAGATTACACGCCTCCACATCCACCAGCCAGAACCCCGGCCATCTGCAACCAGCGCCCACAGCAGAGCCTGGCAGGGTGGCTCCTGCCGCGGCACGGGTTTGGATCCTTGAACTGCCACTTCCTGCCTGGGTGACCCTGAATAAGATATCAGCCTTTCTGTGCCCAGTTTCTTCTCTGCAAAATAAACAAATCTGTAAACAGCTCTCGGAATACGGCCTGGGACGCAGTGACTACTGCTCAGGTGAGAGCTATTGCTATCACCACTAAGAAGGCAACTCTGAATGGTTTTGTGCCCACTCCTCAAGCACGAAACAGAAGCAAAATATCAAAGCGAACATCACTGTGCATGCACTTTAAAAAAAATAAAGGATCTTTTTAAAGAATACATAAAACAATTGAATCAAATTAGTATGTATGAATGTATGTTCATAGAGACATTGGAACATTATCTGTTTCCATAAGAATAGCTGGGTATTAATCATCTTCTAATAATAAATTATAATTTTCTATATCATTGTAGAGTTTATCCTTTGAGTATCAATTCTATCTCAATAATTACTCATTAATTTCATTGTTAGGAAAATATGAATCAAGTAATTGGGGTTTCAGGAGATAAGAACTACTCAACTTCTAAAAATATACTTTGGTACTGACTAAATAAAAATACAAGGCTAAACAGTCAATAAACTTCAGGAGAATTCCTAAGTATTTGAATTATACTGTTACGAAGCTTCCTAAATCAGTGTGTATCAAAATGTACCCCAGCAGCGACATCTGAGGACTTAGGGGCAGGAAGCTGGGAATGGCCAAGAGCTGGATTAAGGGGTCACCCGAGGCCTCTCTCTGCACAGACGCCCCCACCCCGCGTCTCCACCTGAATCTGAGTCAGGACTCATCTCCCTGCACCCCCGGCCTGCTGAGTCCCCCACACCCGTGCCGCCCACTGCCGGGCACCAGGGATGAGTGATGGTGGGAGAGCGGGAAGGAAGGTCGGAGCGAGACACTGGGCTGAAAAGAGATGTCTCGAGTGAAACAGAATATGCCAAACTACTTAACGTGGAACATATTCGCAGGGTACGCAGTAAACTGCTCTAAAGTAATTCAGAACCAAAAGCAAAAATAATATAAGACACACACACACACACACACACACGCATGCGCACACACACACACACACACACACACACACACATGCTGGGTATCAGCCAACTGAATCTACTCTCCAGGAAACAAAAAGCTTTCTTCTGGAACTTGCCCTGTACTTAAAATGCCCAAAAAGAGGGTAAAAAAACAAACAAAAACTCGAAGAATAAACAGAAGGCCTGTCTCTCATTTTTAGAATGAGGGACAGGCTTAGTAAAGTTCATACAGAATTTAAAATTAGCACAATATGCCAAAAATAGTGGAGAAAACATGTTAATATATAATGCTTTTGAATATCTTCACTGAGGAAAATATATTTTAATAAACAGAATTAAAGGTAGCTCTGTAATTAAGAACCACTGATACAGCTAAAATCAAAACCGATTTCAGAATATGCAAACACACTAGCAGAACTTTTTAAAAAATCAATATATCTCAAAAGATGTTTAGGCTGTTATGACATAATCTCCGATAATAACAACTGACACGAATCCCTTATTAAAAATGGCTTTTTTCGGAAAATCATCGAAGTCCTAAAAGTTAGAATAATTGGCCCAAAGCACATGGCACACATCGGCTCTGTGTGGAGCAAGGATGTGCCGAGTGTTCTTAATCTTCCCAGTTTTAAAGTAAGTGCCTGTGCAGGACAGAACACCGTGTTTCTCAGGGAGCTCGTTTTCTCAACTGCAAAACTGACTTCGATAAGCAGAAGTGTAAATGTTAATAAATAAGTTAACTAACATAAATTATTTTTAAGTGAAATAAAATTTAACTACAAAAAAATAACAAGTAAAATCGAGTGGAGGAAGACAAGAAAACCTGCGGGAATCGGTGATGTTCCGCAGGAATGAGTACCGTGCACTGTGTCCCCCTGCACTGGGACGGCGCGGCCACCGTCACGCTGGACACTCCGCACGGCACAGGCCAGCTGCCCGCGTGGGCACTGAACACTCCTTATGGGTAGAGGCATCACTATTACTCCCCCAGCGATTCTCACAGGCTCTGCATTGTAACTTTACTGAACCTCTTTTACTGAAGGCTTAGTAACTAAACACTAAAAATCCCTAATGTAGCACTTTATAGGGATGAGAACTCATTTAAAGAAACCTCAAACTTCCACTCACCTTCTGAAAATAAAGCCTCTTCAGATGATACGTTTATGGTAATTCATACACAGTATGACATTTGCTCTATATTTAAGTAACCTGAAAATAGACAACGTAAGCTTTCGGGCTAAAGAACTGGTCGTTAACTTACAGATACTTCAAATTCTCCAAGTCCTCAAACGCCCCGCCGGGTATCCTCCTGATCTGATTGTTGTTGAGGAGCCTACGAGAGAGTATCGGGAAGGATTTAAAACACACAGCTCCAAAGGGCTACGGAAGCCTTAGCAACGGCCATACGATGATGCAGCCATGGAGCTCACTGCGGACACTCCATGAAGGCTAAACTAACACAACAAGCAGTGTTCAACCCTTGTGGTTACAAGTCTGCTCAAACAGTGTCCACATCAGTCCACGTTCTTCCACCTTTATCCACAACAGAGGAACAACTCCTTCTCCCCTGCACAAAGGAGGGGCTGCATCTTCCTCTTACTCTGGCCAGGACCGCGGCCCACGTGGAGGCAGAAGTCTAGGCAGACGCATCACTGAGGTGGGTCCCAGAGCCAAGCATGGTGCCTGCACAGACAAGGACCTGGCATGCAGAGCAGACAGGTCACCTGCCCTCCAGGTCGCACAGCTGACAGGTGCTGGTCATACCCGGCCCCCATGGCCCTGCACCTGGGCCAAATATCCAGTTGGGGCAGAGGAGAAACCAGCTTCCCACTAGCTGGGCGTACTGGAAAGAGCCCGGGGTCTGGTGCAGCCCCCGGGGATGCTGGTCCCGCCAGCCCCTCAGACCACCCCGGGCTCTGAGCCCTGGGGCAGGACCGCACAGCCTGACCCTGGCTGTGTCCCTGCTGAGCTCAGAAGCACCGTCCTGCGCAACTTTGCGATGCAAGAAGTGACGGGCTCATGAGCCACCCTGACCCAGGAGGCAGAAGAGATGCTGGAGCGAGTTATCCACACGAGGACAAGGGGCAAGCCTGGCCGTCCACGTGGTCCCCGGTCTGCAGCAGATGGGCGCACAGGCGTGGGGCCAGTGGACAGGCGCACGGCCCGGTGGACAGGTGCACGCTCCCTCCTCACCTTTCCCCCTCGTGCCGCTGACCCTGCGCAGTCGGACCCACCTACAGGCAAACAGTGTACGGATTTCTTTTTCAACTTACAGTGTGTTCAAGTTTCTCAGCCGCCGGAAGGCTCCAGGTTGGATCTCCCTAATTCTGTTAAAGCGAAGATCCCTGTGAAAGAAGAAGAAATGCATTTGTACGTGAAAAAAAAAATCTGCAAACATCACGACTCCCGTGCTATTATTTATTCTTCAACAGTCGGTTTCAAAATGGCGATAGGGCATCTAAAAAATTAAATCCTACAGATCCCCCCCTTGGATAAATCTTCTCTTCACTGAGGCTAACACATACACGGACATTGATCTGAATGACGACACGACGGTACCACGTTATAGAAATTCATTTAAACACTCACTATGGGGAGATAAAAACTGCGTTAACTACCTGCACATCCTGCCTTTGGCCAACCCACTCAAAAGTGGATGTCAGTCAGTCTCGGGATAATAAACACAGGTCAGACTCGCACATGCTCAGGGAGAGAGCGGTAGTGCCTGCGCAGTCGTGTGAACGCTTCAGAGTCAACCCCAACGACCTCATGGGCTGGAGTTGGGCTGTTCGTACCTAACCACCTGCAGTGTCATTTCAAAGACGTGTAGACAGTGTCTCAAAACCACACGCTAATTCAGCATGCACGCTGGGAAAACAGGACACCTAACCTGTGGGTTTTAACCAAATGGTTCCAAACAGGTTATACTCTAAGTAAAGTCAAATGCGTACTGCTAAACATATGCTTTCTGAGCAGCCCAGGAGAGGGCAGAGAGCAGGCCAGAGACGGAGTCTGGGGCTGGCCCAGAGCAGAAAGGCCTCAGTTCCCGGAGAGGATGCCCAGAGAGCAGGCGGGAGGCCCTGGGGGCACCCCACAAGTCCAGGCGCAGGACAGATGTCATGGCAGACGGGAAGTGAGGACTCACAGAAATGGCCACTTCACCCTCCTTAGAAGGCCCGTGTCCATCCAGAATTAAAAACTAAAAATGCAAGAAGTCTGAAAGCCACTTGAAAATAAACAGAAAGTCCCGTTTTCTTTATCAAATAGTCTTATAAAAATACCCCCCTTACTCGCAGGCCCAACCCCTTCTATCGCAGTCCAGAAACTGCCCCCCACACTCGCAGCTGCAGTCCCCACCCCAGGGCATCGGAGAGTGACCTCGTTGGGAGGTCAGGCCTGCACAGAAGGAATCAAGTTAAAACAGGATCACGGGTGTCTTAGGACATTTACTGAACTCTTAAGATGTTTATACTCCTTTAAGGAACCTGATTGTTTTGAGCCAATTCACCCATCGCCAATGATTTATAGAATTGGTTCTAGTTCATGGTTCAGTAAGAGGCTTCTCAAAAAGCAGGCGAGTCACTGAAGTTGACTGTGTTCGCCCGGGGCTGGCAGGTGAGCGTGGTCCTCCCAGCGCCAGCCGCCTCCCGGTCGGCCTTCTTCCGCGGGGCCCATTGTCTGGCAACACTGTCCCCACAATCCCCTCCTCCAGCACTGATGCGTTTGTTTTTAACTAAATGAGATTCTAATTTACTTCCCCGCGGAGCTGCCGAGGGAAGCGCAGAGCGGGAGGGCCAAGGCGGAGGGAGGACAAGGCGGGAAGGCAGCCGCCCAGGGTGGAGATTTTTAACGACGAATCAGTCAATATGTAAGATACGGACACACTATTTATCAGGAACGAATTCTGACTGGCTAAGACCGTAGCATAAATTACAAACGACTGGAAAGCAGGTCTCTCACCTGTGACACAGAGGACACGGGGGTCTCCCAGCAACTGAACGCGAAGGAAACGCCCCCCTGGGATGTGGAGCCCCAACTCTCAGCGGGATCTACCTGCACTTATATCTCCAAGAATCCAAGCTTCCCTCCGAGCACGGAATGGACCGGACACACTCATCTTTTGACTCCTGTCTGCCCACCCAGACCCACGCTCAGACCACAGAGGAAGACGATGGAACATTCTGGAAGCTACAAAGCAAACTGATGAGGACCTGGCAACATAAACATGAAACCTGAGTAGAATGCAGGGAAAGTTTCAGACGAGTATTCCTTACACGCAAATCCTTCCCCAAATCTGGAACTGGTGCCACCAAACCCTCCGGTGGGGCAGAGGGAGGTGCCGTCCGGTCCAGTAACCCTTGGGCACGGCGGGTTCTGAGCACCTGACACGTGGCCAGAGGTGCACAGCGGATCTCAAAGGCTCCATTCGAAAAAATGGAATTTAAATATATCATTAATAAACTAGACTGATTACATGCTGAAATATGCATGTCTGACATACAGAGTTAAATAGAATGTTATTAAAATTAACCCATTTCTAATCTTCTAATGAAACCACAAGAAAAATTTAAATTATAGTAACATGTGTGGCCCACATCTGTGTTGACAGCGCTGGTCTAAGCTACAGTTATTTCACAACCTGTCCCCAAACAGAGCCGCACCCCAGCTCAGCCAGACGACCAGAAAAAGACTTCTCCCAAGAAGGAGGCATAGCGGGGGTCCCCTCTTCAGCGAGGGGGGGACTTAGCAGAGGAAACGACGTGATTAAAAGAGAACTAACTGAAACCCCAGAACTGAAACGCGCATTGATTTAACACAGTGAGTATTACAACAGGAAATGAACCTGGAAGCAAAACGCTAGAAACTATCCAGTCTGAGGCCACAGGGCACGAGGGTTTGCAACCCACCGTTCACACAGGCGGACGTCCACGCGTGTGTGTTTTTTAAAAATTTAGTCTGAAACCACAGAAAAACCATCTGGCAAACGTGTCTGGGGTCAGCCGACCTAAAACGAGGCCTGTGTTTCTCAAAACCATGCGTGTTTCAATCACTAAGACCTCCGACCTCTCGAGTCAACCTTTAGTGAAGACTTGCAGTTTTTTCCTGACTCAAACCATTTGATTTTACAACTATTTCTTCATCATCTCCGATTTAAAACACAGACCCTGCGCTGCACACGGCACTTCTGGGGCCTCCGGAGTCACCTCGGAGTCCCTCACCCTCCAGAGCGAGGGAAGGAGCAGAAGGGAAAGGTCCGTGTGGCTCCAGCCCAGAGACACGCCAGGGAATCAGGACAGCGCGGACAGGGGACGCTGGCGGTCGGTTCAGATACGAGCCCCAAATGCACACGGCAAACTGCAGGGGCGGAGCCTCACGCGTGCGGATTCTCACACGTGCGGATTCTCACGGGTGCGGATTCTCACAGGTGCGGATTCTCACGCGAGCGGATTCTCACGCGTGCGGATTCTCACGCGTAGGATGCCATGGCGCAGCAGGGATGTCACGGCGCAGCAGGGATGCCACGGCGCAGCAGGGGCGTACGTGCCTCCTGAGGCACAGGGTGCTTCTCCTGAGCAGCGTCTCGGGGGCCCCGGATCAGCGGCAGCTCTGCGTGGGGGCTGGTCAGGAGGCAAGTGCAGCCCCCCCAGTCTACAGAATCAGAACTTGGGGGCGGGTCTAGCAACGGGGACTCACAAGCCCTCCAGGTGGTTCCCAAGGAAGGTGAAGTCTGAAAACCACTGTCCCTCAGCAGTGCTGAAGAGACAACACAAACACGCGGTGTGTGTGTGCGTGTGCGTAGACACGGGAGTGACACTCGCACACGCACACGCACACACGCACTTGCTCATTTCCTCTGCACTCTCTCCACTTCTGACCGAGCGCACTCCTCCCTGCGGACACAGAGCTCGTGTTCGATGCCGGCACACTGGACTCCCCGGTTAGTGCGTAAATCCCAGTGTACAAAGTAAGCGCCCCCATAGCTTGGAACATGTCTGCCCACGTCAGGGCGGACAAAACCCCTAACCCCAGGGAACAAGCCTGTGGGGCCGTTCGCGCCCTGCATGATGCATTTGTGCACAGCTCAGTTATCTGACAAGTAAAATTATTATTTTCTTAATAAATATTTCCACAAATCCTAACTGGAGAAAAAATTTCCTTGAACTTTAAAAATAAAACATTGTGCCGGGCCCCTCCATAGGGCTCTGCACCCCCACCCCACCCCCGCGCGTGACACCGCTGGCTGATGGCGCCCCTGGTCACCTGCCCGCAGCAGCACACGGCGCGACTTCTCCCAACAAGGCATCAGGGATCCTTCTGCTGAAGCCAGGAGCCCTGGCCAGGACATTCCCGTGACGGCCCTGCACCCTGCCGCCGGGCGAGCTGAGCTGGCCATCCTTGCCAGAGCCCAGGCCTAAACCACAAGGCGCCAGGTAACAGGCACTCGGTGAACAGGTCACAGAAGGACACAGTGTGTCTGAGAAGAGCTTCCCGAACCTCAAAACTGTCTGCATATCCATCCAGGACATCACCTGCAATTCCAAGGGACCTCGTCGATTCCGTCATTGACTACAGCAACACCTGCTAGGTGGGAACCTATGGATTGGGCAGTGCCTACACGGAGAGCCCGGGCGTGTGCCGGGAACCAGTCAAGAGCCCCAGAAATGACGATCCTCGGACAAGGTTGCGGCCTGCTTCACGGTCCGCTTCAACCTCATCCGGCCACGTCCCGGGAACCGCCAAGGAGCAGGTCGGGGCACACGGAGGTGTCAGCTAGGAGGGGAGGAGGGCAAGAGAACCAGGTTGGAAGAAGCTCCTTTACTTGACAAGTAATCCAGAAACTAAGATTTGGTGATTTGTCTAAACTCAGTCGGTCTCAGCAGCAGAAATAGAAATGCAGCGAGCATTACCCGGGGACTTTCCCAGCACAAAACTGCCCCGAAGGGGGGCTCTGGAGAGGTCCATCCTCACCGGCAGAGTTCACGAGGCGCCACCCACCCCCGGCACTCCAGGCAGGAGTCCTCCCACCTTTGCGCAGAGCTGCCCTTCGGACTGCGCGGCCCTCGCGAGTCTGAAGAACAGCCTGGAATAACCACTACAGTGAAACACGAACTTTCAACCCAGAGTAGCGGAAACAGAACTCAGGTCTGCTTACGCTTCATGTTTAAAAAGCTGGCAAACTCAGAGTTTCTAAGACAAGGAGGTTTAGGGTGGTTTTTTTGTTTTGTTTTTAGTGTCTCCATTATTCCAAAATCTTACTGGAATCCAAAAACCTACCAGAAAGGAAAAGAGAAATTGTCAAGAATTGCACTTAGGAATGAAGCGTCAAAGTACAGGTTTATACTCA